CCCAAGGCTCATCCCCTTCCCCCTACCCCCAAACCAAGGCCATGCGGCCAGCCCCGGGGGATCCGTGTTTATTTGTCCCATTTGGGGTCCAAGCGGCCCCCAAGCGCACGGGGGTGTCGCGGGTGGAGGGTCTGCAGCAGGGTGAAGGAGCTGGGAGCTGCACGGGCACCTACGCGTATTTTTTATAGAGCCTGTGCCTGTGTGCGCTCGCCTCCCACTCGCGATCCTGCGGCGGGTTGCATAATCCTTGCCTGAATTTATAGAACTAACTGAATTGTTTTCAAAGGCAAAAAAGAAAAAAATACACTGTTGTTTTCTCCATTTACAGGCCAGCTATGGATTTTTGTTTTTTTTTATCATAGGCTGGGAGCAGCTGAGTGATGTGGGACAAGTCGGTTTTGCAAAGTGCTGAAGTTGGACGGGAGCTTGTTGAAGCCCTGACACCCCGGGAAAGCGTCTTAATGGTGAATGTTGGGATGTGACAGATTTAACATGTCAACCTTTAACTAATCCTTTTGGTTTGCACTTTTTAAAGGAGCTAGCGCTAATACATCAGAAGTAGAAAATGTATATTAATCATACTTTTGTCCTGCATGAAAAACAATCTTATCAGCTACAGAGGAATGAAAGTCCCTGTACTCTCATTGATTTCTCTAGGATCCCAACCACTTCCAGCAAAAATCCCACAAAAGCAGTATCACAGTCCTAGCAGGACTGTATAAACTAGGTGTTTGAACAGCAGAGCTCATGGTGGCAGAACAGTTAAACAGTAAAATCATTTCAAGAGCTGTGATGAGTAATTTCACTCTGTAACTCATTTATCTGAGAACCTGATTCCAACAAAGGGCTTTCCTGTGTTGTTTTTTTCCTCTCCAGTATTTTTGGTGTCTGCCCCCTTTTTTTAAAAAAAAAAATATTACTATAACTTGTACAAACTCTTTCATTTTGACCTCAGTTTTGAAACTTTGTACTCTTAGCTTTGCACTGAAATGGGCTTATTATAATCACATTAGGTCCCAGTCTTGTAAAGATGCATGCATGCTTAGCGTCAAGCATGTGAATAGCCCAATTAAGCTCAGCAGGATGACTTGTGCAGAGTATGTACAGACATCTCAGTATCAAGGGCCGTACGTTCCAACACCAGAACAAGTTATCCATCATTTATTCTTTAATAGAGTTGTGGAACTAATGTGTTATTGGAAAACAAAACATTAAAACATTCTGAACTTAACTCCCAGAGGCACAACTTAATTCAATTTCTTCTCTCTTTAACGGGTGCAAGCTCAAAACCAGGAATGTAACTTCAACTGAAAGCAGCAGGCAAGACATTTCAGAGTGGTGCATCTTCAGTCATAATTTTCTTCATCTTTATTCAAGTATATGTTTCCACTTGAAAGGGGAGAAAATCATAATTTGGAATTCCAAGCTGACCTTTACTTGTGTGTTAATTAAGTAGAACTCACAATGGATATGGAGGTGTTTATCTTGCAATAGGAATATATTTGGCTGTTTGGTCTGTAGCTGCTTGCTCCAGAATTGTTAGAAAACACCACTGCTAAAATTGACCCGAGCACATTAAAGGTTAAATGCCTGATATCTAAAAGTGATTAGCCTGAGCCACAGTCAATTTCAGTCAGATTTGCAAGTTGCCCTTTCTAAAACCCTACTTTTGGGTGCAGTATCTATAGTCCTGCCCAGTCCCCCTGACTTCCTCGGGGATGACACACGCAGCAGTGTCACAAAGTGACAGTGTGCTCAGCACATCCTTTTTAAATCTCAGCATGTGTCTCATTGTCTTGAAAAGCTTTTTAAAAACAAAGCGTTCTGAAGAAAGATCTGAAATCACGTTTGAGAGCAGAATGACTTTTATTTTCCCAATTACACGTAGCTAAGAGAAGTTTAATCATCTTCATTCAACTAAAAATGAATGGGGCTTAAAGATATATACTAACCTTTCATTATTATCTAATAGAGCAAATCCAACAGAAAAGGATTTATCAGTCATCCAAAGTGTTGACTGAATCAATTCTCAAGCAGCATTAGCTGAACATTGCATTATTAAGCTGCATAAACCCATGTGCTCAGAAAATTGCCTTGTAGAGAGAATTGAGGAAAAATATCCCAACTACCACATTCATTTGGAAATGGAGTGTAGTGATGCCGACAGCCCTGAACATAACTGCAATTATTGCAGGGAGTATTTGTCCATTTGGAGGAAGGAATGAATTAATACTGGCCCTTTTTCTCTTTACTGAATCTTTCATCTCCTTTCTCTTAGTAGGAAAATGGGAGCCATAATCACTTTACCAGCTGACCCATGATCCTGGGGAACCTGCGGAGGATTAGGAGCCCTTTCCCAATAGCTTAGGTAGGATTGAAACATGGAAAAGTGAAAAGATGTGCACATGCACAAAGAATTAGTATTTATATAATTTTTTATCATACATCCTTAATACAAACACAGCAGACATGCTTCTTGTTTGTGACAATTCATGGGAATTGGCATAGTCACTTAGTGCCTGAGTGATTTTTATCACCTAATTCTGTCCTTAAGTGTGTGTGAACTGCACAAGGGGGAAGAGCCATCACAAGGAATGTGCAGCACTTACTGTGTCAGCAGGGTCACCTGCCCCTGGGCACAACAGCCCTCCTGCCTTTGACTAATAGTATCTGTCAAGGTCACACACACACCCTGTTTCTTGTGCTGATTCTGAAGTATTTTAAGCCTTGGCCTGAGTCACCGATTCTGTCAAGTAGGCATTTTTTTCAAGTACCTTTCATAAAATGTGAATCTGAACTTCTTCTTTCACTGCAATTAGTTCCTTCTTCTTGAGGAAAAGTGTTTTTAAGTACTCTAGAGACACCACTACATTCTTTACAAAGGGACACTGTCTCTCCACTATCGATCCACTCCCTTTCCTACCGATCCACTCCCTTTCCTACCATCTGGCATTTGAGTTCCTGTTTGGCAGCCTGCATCAAACCCAGACACATGTGCAGGCACCCGCAGTCCTCACGCTCCGCAGGCTCGTCAAGAGCCTGGAAAACGCAGCGGGCAGTGAGTCTCCAGCGCCGAAATGCCAAGGCACGTGTTATCACGGCGGAGGAAGCTGCATGTAGGAGCAGAACTCCTCTTGGACCTCTGCTAAAGATGATGCAGTGCACACAGCAGCCGAGTCACACGGCAGGTTCAAGAAAAAAAAACATTGTTTCAACTGTTCTTTGATGATGTAACTTCTCTCTCCCACTATTCCAGGAAAATATATTCTGCATCAGGGTAGAAAGAAGGGTGGTCCCTTTGGCTCCTGAAGTTATGGCTCTTCAAGGTGTAACCAGCTGCACTGTCACTTGCCCAGCTTTTTGGATACTTTGTGGCAAAGACATTGAATTTCAAGGGAACTCAGGGGATGTCACAACTCCCTGCACTTGCTGTCCTTGCCCGAGGACATGCCCAGAGAAGCCAAGGAAAAGCCCATCTCCCCAGCGTGGAGCATCTGGGCAGCTGCAGCAGGAGAACATCTGCAGCATCCTGCCAAAAAGCTGCAGTCACCGTAGGGCTGAACTGCAGCCAAGAGACAGCCGGTAAATACAGCATCACCCCGCGCAGATCAGAGCTCCGAGAAGCCTGGTGAGGTTGCAATTTTCCCTTATTTGAGGTCTGTACAGTGGAAACAGAAAACACAGGCAAAGAAAAGGCCTGCAGAGACGATAGTGAAAACACACGTCCTGCCTCAACCAAAGTGAATCAGCAGCTTCCAAGGCTGCCACCGAAGGGGCGAAGAGTTGAGAGATGTTGCACGTATAACCGAGCTCAGACATCCAACAAACCCTGCTGTACAGCTGTACGTCCTGCACGGCCCACGCACCTTGGGGTGGGCTTTGGAACCACTGGCTCTATCTGCCTGGCCATCACAGGGCAGCTACCAGTTTAGGAGATCCTTGTGCTGCAGTGCAAAGGTGTTACCGTAAACCTGCTTCGCTTGGAACCATCCTGTGCCTGTATCAAGCAGCTGTGGATCTGCAGAAATACCAGATCCGCCACAGGTTGCAAAAGCTTGTGAGGATCTTGTGTAAATATTCAGGCTAGCCCATGCTGAGCTCCTTGCTACTGTGCAGATTAGTAGCAAGCTGGTTAGTTTGAAGCTAGATCAAATACTGTGTACAGCACGTTGGTAACCACACAACTCCCGTGACAGTATCTGCAACTGCAGGAAAAAACTGCAGGTCGAGAGCAGATCTATATCCATGTAGACAGACCTGGGCACGTCCCTGTCAGGAGCCTCACGCTTGCTGTCTCCAGGACACTTCCATGGAAGGGACTCATGTTCCTGCAACATTTTCATGCGCTCTTTTTCTCTAATGTATGATTTTATTTTTTGTTACTTTGGGAGCAAAGCCCTAGGATTGGCATCTTACTATTAATATATTTCCAAATGCTCAGATTAAGTGTTCCTTCATACTGAGGAATGAACAGTCCTTTAAGGCGACAGAAGCAGAGGATCCCTAGTGTAACCGATCCCTCAAAGTGGAGGGAATGAGAACATAAGGGGACAGGTCACAGGACTGCGGGACAAAACTCGAGGCTGCTGCGCGATAAGGAAGCCGGCGGCAGGGATAACGCCAGGCAGAGGAGCGTGCGGAGAGATAAGCCCAGCTGAAAGGAACCGTTGGAGGAAGCAGGCCAAGGATAAAGGAAGAGGCCCCGGTGAGGGCAAGCAGGACCCCTGCACTATAACCTGCTCCTTGGTATCTGAAGTCTACAAATGGATGAAAGTGGAAAAGAGTAAGAAGGAAAGAGTAAGAAGAAAGAATCAGTGACCCCTGTAATTTCTCAAGTGGATGAGTATGTAAACAAGAAACACTGAGTAGAAATCTCCCATTTGGAGTTTTGACAAGAGTATATTTATCTTTAGCATTGAAAAACGTTTGGGTTGCAGTCCTCTCTGTTAAAGCAAAGTCCGGTGCCCACAACATGGTGTCATCCCTGTGTTGACATGCAAGGAAGTTCTACAGGCCAAAGATGACTAAGAGCAAGGCAGTGCGGTGCAAATCCCATCTGTCATCCAGCACCAGAAATGTATTCCAGTCACAGCTGCTTCACTGCTATAATGACATTCCACTTCGCCTCTTTGAGTCCTTCCGTGCAATCGGACTGAAGGACAAGATCTCCTTGTAAATGTGCTCTTGAAAAACAGAACAAAATAATCGTGAATATCACTACCAAATTGTTGACATTTGTTTTCAGAGGACACACCTGAAGCTTTGATCATTACATGTGCTAAGAGGAAGCATTCAGCGGAAAGGATGTGACAGGCGTAAGCTGGGAGGAAGAGAAGGACAAGGGTAAGGAAAGGGAGAGCCACGCTGTTCCCTGCTGGGGCATGGCAGTAAAACCAGTGTGTGCACAGGAAATGGAAAAGAAGAGGCAGGAAAGTCCCATGCTAGGCAGGGACAGGATGCTGGGAACCCCAAAGATAAACTTCTTACTTCTCCACTCGTCTATTGAAAGTTTCTCATGTTCCAAAGAATCATCGTAGGACTGTTGGGCTTCTGTCTCCTCCTCAATGTCTCGGAACTGATCAAAATAGGGGTGAGCCAAAGCTTCCGTGGCCGTAAGGCGCTTCCCCACATCTAGCTGCAACATCTTGTCGAGCAGGTCCACTGCTGTAGGAGGAGACAGCAACATTGCTAAGCAGATGCGGTGGAGAACAGCTACCCCGTGCATGAATCCCCCAAAGTGACAGCAGCCGTGCAAACGAAACAGATCCTTCAACCTGGCCAAATAACACTGCAAATCCCATTAGTCAGGATGCAAAATCCACCAAAAGGCTTTTAGCAAACAGAAGGCTGGCTCTGACTACCATGCAAAGCAGGCAGAAATAACAGCTTCATCCTGAATAGGCCTTGCTGCAAGGATGGAGCTGCAAGAACAAAGCCAGCAGGCTTTCAAGATAGATATTTTCAGTTTTAATCATTTGCTTTCACTCTGACCCTTGTAACTCAGTGGTCTTAACGTGAGCAATCTATAAAGAAATCTATACCTCCCCAGTAAACAGGAAGGCAGGAAACTCTGATACCAACCAGTCTGTCAGCCCTTTCCCCACCTTGGTTTTAACAGCTTGATCTTTTCTTCCTCTTGGCTT